GCAGGATATGTATGTAATAAATGTCCCCATTTTTACCTGGTCTTTTTAATGATATGGTTACTTTTAAATCTGTTTAAGGAATACAAATAATATAACATTCACACACTGTATTTTATATAATTTAACGTACATACATACACACCTGTGATACCAATAGTACTAAAGTGAAAGTCAATGGGACCTAGGTCTACTACGTCACTTAGGTACTTTTGAAAATTTTACCCTAGAACATTAACTTTGATTGACATTGTTAAGTTCTTCAGTATGAAAGTCATGGGATCATATGGTACTATGTGATTATGAAGTAATGACTATGTATAACATTAGATGGTGATCCTGTAAAGACTTACATATGGGCTTAGCTTTATACATATGAGTAGTCACATTGACTGAAACTTAACTGCTCAAAGTACACAAAGTTAAGCATCTGCATAAATCTTTACAGGATCAGGAATTTCACTAGGGCCAGACTAGACTGCGATAGCTTTACCCCCATTACATGGAATATTACCCCAGGAATACTCCCATTAAAGTCAATGGGAGCAATTGTGAGTGAAGGTGCTATTAAATCACAGTAAGTGTATCGCAATCTAGCTCCTAAACATAAAAAAAAGCATGATATTTCTCACTTGTAATTGAAAGGGTTATTACATTCTTTTTTCAAATAATAATTTAAAGAAAAATCTCATAAAGCATATTTTTAAAAGTGAACTAAAAAGTATTAAGAGAGTAAGGTGGGTGGGTAGTGTTTCAAAACAAGATAATGCTACCATGTGAAATACAAACATTTTATGAAGCATGGCATTTTATAAGAAGCTCAAGGTTAAATTCATAGAAGCAACAGCTCAATTTGAGAATAGACTCACAAAAATAATTCTTTGATGGTATGTGATAAAGAGAAAGACTTTGCAAGTTTCTTTGTAAAATCCAAACACAAACAAAACAAGAAAAGCCTTTGAACTTCTATTCTTTTGAGGACAATATTAGCTACATTTTATCAGCCTTAGTGTTTTTAAATGCTATTAACTCACAGACTAAGCCATACTTTCTTAACAATGTAAGTGGTGGTGGGGGTCGAGGGAAATAACTCAGCTGAAGTTTTCTTTATTTGAATCAGTCCTACTTGAAAGAGACTGAGTGCTCTTAGCTCCTGAGACACATCAGTATCTAGGAAGTGGTATGGATACTTGCTACTGCCCTGTTTCAAGCAGAGATAAGGAAAGCAAAAACTCAAGACCTGAATTCTGGTGGTGTTTGGAATTTGAACATGGATCCGGACCTATATTCCAATGACAATTCCTATCTATATAAGAGGATAGATCAAAAATCCAGATCAAAATTCTTTGGAACTTTGGAGCATTTGAAATCCAGATTTGTAACTGAATACCTAGTAGACAGCACACCAGGGGATCAGCATCCTTTTAGATGACTGCTACAGAACTCCAGATAGCTGGAAGTTCTGTATTACAGGAGATAGTCCAAACTTAAAAAAATCCAATTGTGATAGTGTTAAAACCCTTATTTGAGTATCTTATGAAAAGTATTCTTTCTTTTCTATTAGCAGTACTGCCAGAGTATCACTCTGATTCTAAAGATGTGCCTAAACCAAAACTTTGATGTGCTCAGAATCTAAACCTGGATTCCAAATGGCCCATACTTATCTAACTGGCTGCCCCAAACCTTCCCCGCCCCTCACTTTGCAGGCAGTGTCTCCAGCAGCACGGAGAAAATGTATGCAGCCGTAGTTTCTGCTGCGTGTTTTAGCACGGTACAACATTCCCTCTATACAGTACTGCATTTTCATCTATTCTAAAGTGTAGGTAAGTATTTTGTTACCAAATGTTGATTGAAAATGAAAGATGCTCTATAAAGGCCTAACTCTGGAGGATGCTGAATGCCTTAGGTGCTGAAAGCTTTCAAATCCCACTGATGACATTAGGAGCTGACGGTTCTCAGCACCTCCCAAGAGGCAGAATCAGGTGCTAAAATATTAAATTTTCCTGACACAATAAACACTTGTAATCATGGCAGATTGAATTCATACCTTAAGTCTGAACAAACAAAAATTAGTTTTGTGCTTTTCTGCCAGAAATAAGAAAGAAGCACATTGTAAGTAAATTGCATTGTTTATACCACTTATTCTATGTGTGGTCAAAACAAGAACAGCTGTTCTTTAACTGCTTTCTTTGTGACAAATATATTCTTTTATGTACTAGGGTACGAAAATTTGCCAGGTCTTCTGTCATTTCATTGCAGACTTTTACTTTTAGGCATTTATAAGTCAGTTATTAATATTCATTCTACTTTCAAACTTGCTTTCACTTTTCTAAAACTGGAAAAATATATTGGAAGCTGTTTCTTTTCTCTGTAGACACACTTTCAAACATTAAATAAGATAGCTTGACCATTAGATATTAGGGTGAACTCCTGGCCCCAGTGAAGACAATAGGAGTTTTGCCACTGATTTTAATATGGCTAGTATTTCACTCTGTATTCCTAGGTTCAGTAGATGCAATTGATCAGTTTAAAATCCACATAAGAGAAAAGACCCTCTTGATGTTAGGACAAGAAAAAAAAAGATTGCATTTATTAAAATATTGACATACGTTAGGGAGAATGTTTTCTGATACTTTAGGGCCTGAGTATGCAACCATTATGTGGACATAGATCCCTTGGAAGCGAATAAACATTTTTATGTATATTCAGGCTCCAGCCTTTAGTCTTGAATTGGTTTTACTTCAGTTAAATATATGTCAGAATGGAGACAAGGTAAATGGCCTGAGTTATGCCATGGAACCTCATGAAGGGGTCTAAAATGTAAGCACAGCATATGGAATTAAAAAAAGTTAAAAATATAAAGCTACTTGTGAAAAACCATTAGAAAGTTGCAGGCTTGTTCCTAATCAGTTGTTGAAAGCTGATAGGGGCAGGCTCTCGTCTTTCTTGTTGTCCCAGATCTTAGATATTTTAAAATTGTTTTTATACTGCAGTCAACTTGTTAATGTTTTTGCATCACCATCCTCTACTGTAGAGTAACATAATTGTAAACCTATGCATCATAGATTATTATAATAGAGAGAGTCTAATAGAGAGTGTCCTTTAACAAGTGGTAACGGCCTGTGTTTTTTGAGCAACAGCATTAGAGTCTGTGACTGCAATTGCTGGGAAGTTCCAAGTAACCATAGCATGCAGCATAGTTGCAACCACACAGTGCTAGGAGGCTACAGAATTATTATGATATACAGTATGCTGCAGTTATTAATAGTGCCATTGATGATACTTTACTTTTATTAACCTATATTATCATAGAATCATAGAACTAGAAGGGACCTCAAGAGGTCATCTAGTCCAGTCCCCTGCACTCAAGGCAGGACTAAGCCTTATTTGTACCATCCCTGACAGGTGTTTGTCCAATCTGCTCTTAAAAATCCCCAAATGAGGGAGATTCCACAACCTCCCTAGGCAATTTCTTCCAGTGCTTAAACACTCTAACCAGGGGTGGTTCCAGGCACCAGCGCAGCAAGCGTGTGCCTGGGGCGGCAAGCCGCGGGGGGCGGCCTGCCGGTCGCTGTGAGGGCGGCAGTCTGGCTGCGTTCGGCAGCATGCCTGCGGGAGGTCCGCCGGTCCCGCGGCTTCGGCAGCAATTCGGCGGTGGGTACGCCGAAGGCGCAGCACCCGCGAACCCCCACAGGCATGCCGCAGAATCTGCGTGACCAGCAGACCTCCCACAGGCGCGCCGCAGAAAGCCGCCTGACAGCTGTGCTTGGGGCGGCAAAAAACATAGAGCCGCCCCTGACTCTGACAGTAAGGAAATTTTTCCTAATGTCCAACCTAAACCTCCCTTGCTGCAATTTAAAAATTGTTCTTCTTAACCTCTGAGGATAGGACATTGCTTCTTGTCCTATCCTCAGAGGTTAAGAAGAACAATTTTTCTCCCTCCTCCTTTTAACAACATTTTATGTACTTGGACTTTTTGCTCCCCCTTCCCCTCTTGTGAGAATGGTGTTAGGCGGTCGCTGAGAAAAAGAGAGTGCTCTTCCTACAGCAGCTCTGACTGGTTGCTCTGCCCCAAGCAGTGGGCAAGTGGGGTAGATAGCCCCCTCTGAGAAGCTTTCTCACTGGCAGGGCTCAAATTTGCTAGAAAGTGAGAGCTTCACTTCTCTCCCTACTGGCCTCTAGCACAGCCAAAATCATATCACTCGCAAAAAAATAATGGGAGTTGGCAACACTGGAGGAAGGCAATTTTGGTCCCTGCTTCAGGAGCTCTCACTAGTTAAACCAACTAAGAGCTGGGCCCCAGTGTGCAAGACACTGTTCAAACACATAGTAAGAATTGGTCCCTGACCTGAAGAACTTGCAATCCAATGCAAAGCATGGTGGTGAGTGTGTGACATGGGAGCTGTAACTTGTCAAACTCATCTCATATAGGGCCTACTAAACTTCTGTTAAGATAGCAACAACTTTTAATCCCTGCTGAACTGGGCAGGATTCCTGCTCTCTCCATTATATTTTAAGTCCCCTAATTGGTGTTTTTCTTAAACCCCCACCTTCTGAAATCATGTCAATACATCAGGATCTCAAGCTTTCATTTTAAAATAGGAAGTTTCTAGCCCTCATGGTTGAGGAGAAAAACATGAAAATGCCAGGTTCGCCCTAAAGGTTTAAAAACCACAATAAAATAACAACAGGTTTATTATTGTTCCAATCGCTCGTAATTTTTAAGGCAATCTCATAATTTCTTGGGGCCTAGCTCCTGATTTTTTGATGATTGTGGCTAGCAGTGCTCTGTCGCTTACTATTATCATCTGATAGTGAAGACGTTTGCACTAAGATCTGGTGTTGCCTGTGTACCAGTGAGGCAGGCACAGGTGCAGAGGCCTCCCCCCCTCCTTCTCTGCCAGCCCTAATCCCAGCAGCAGAAGAGGAAGTAGAAAAACTACATTACCCAAACTGCCTCTACCGCCCTCTGACTTCCAGCGGCTTCTCACATGACTGTCAGGTGGCTACACCATGGCGGAAGCAGAGGAGAAGGTAAAGGCTGTGCCAGCGCAGCGAGCACTGACAACTGCACAGTGGGAGCCCCAGTGTTTGCTCCGCGCGGAGGAGTTAAACTAGGGGAGTGGAGAAACCACTGCGTTTTCTAGCCGATGAAGGGGAAGAGAGAGGCTTCTGGGGGGGCAGCAGCAGGAGGGGGCTGGGGTTGGGGGGAGGGCAGCAGCAGGAGGGGGCAGGGCTGGGGGAGAGTTGTGGGGAGCAGAGGCAGTGGGAGGACTGGGGATTGGGGGGAGGGTTCGGGGGGTGGAGGCAGCAGGAGGCATGGGGAGGGTTGTGGGGGCCAGAGGCAGCGGGAGAGGTGGGGAGGGAGGGTTGTGGGGGGTGGAGGCAGCAGGAGGCATGGGGAGGGTTGTGGGGGCCAGAGGCAGCGGGAGAGGTGGGGAGGGAGGGTTGTGGGGGGTGGAGGCAGCAGGAGGCATGGGGAGGGTTGTGGGGGCCAGAGGCAGTGGGAGAGGTGGGGAGGGTTGGGGGGGGGGAGGGGAGAGGCAGCGGGAGGGGGTGTAGATTGGGAGGAGGGTGGTGGGGGCAGAGGCAGCAGGAGGGGTGGGGAGGTTGTAGGGGGGCAGAGGCAGCGGGGGGGGAATTGGAGGGGAGGAGCAGGAGTAGAATTGGGAAATGGATGTTTGTGGGAAGCAGAACTTGTGGGCTTTGTGGCTAGAAGAGTGGTGTAGGGTTAGTGCACAGTTTTGCAGTCTATTCTGTATTCCTCTTTTTGAAGATGCCAGCACAGTGTGGTCCTGAGGGCATTTAAAGCTGAGGATGAAACCCTGTTCATCTCTGTCAAAGGTTCAGAATCAATATTGTAGACTCATTCATTTTCACATATGCATAAAAATAGCTTAAAGTCCCAGATTTATGAGCATGAAATCACCAACCCCACTAGTTTGACTTCTATAAAGCTATTGGATATTAAATACCACTCATTTATTAGTTATATCAAATTCTTATTGATTGAGTTTGGTGGCTATGATTTTGTCAATGTTTAAGTTTTTAGTAATATTTCAAATCAATTATCAATCTCAATCAGTTGTTGGGTATGAGGAGAGAATATTACGGTTTCTTAAATTATTTTACAGAGAAGATTATTGGTGACTTCTGGGTTGGAACTATTCTTAAATATTATATACCAACAATTTGTTTAAAATTACTTTTATAATTGATCATATTACCCTATATGAGAAAATCCTCTTCTTGGGAACTGTATTGTACAGGGAAACCTTTCTTTAGATTTTGTCCAAAATTTAATCTCTTTCATGGTCATTCCATGGTATAGACCAGAGCTGTGCTTCCTTTAAATATTTTCTTTCTTTTTTTTTTTAAAAGCAACTTTTATATTCTGAGGGCAAAGAAGGAAGTGTGTTAAATCTTCGAATGACAAAACAAAATTTTGATAGTCATTAGGGTCTTGATACGGTGTAGTGCACTGTATTGGCAGATCCAAGAATTTAGCAAGGTCCAATAAAGGATTGGACATTTATATGTATAACAGAATATCCAGAGTTATCTTAATTGATAACTTTTTTGTGGGGGGGGAGGGGTAGGAGATGCTAAACTTCATGCCTTAGAATTTAAAGCAGTCTCTAACTATTGGATATCAGGGTGAAACCTAATGGGCCGGGGAGGCGGCAGATTATCCCATGCCTGCCTATTGCAGGGTTCTTACACTTTAGAATTATCTAGTAGTGGCAGACAGGGATTCTGGACTAGATGGATTTCAGGTCTCATCCACAATGGCAATTCGAATGTTTCAATCCCTCTACGTGCCCGAAGCCCCTTTGAAGTGAGTCCAGGGGTCAGCATGTGCTGAGCTCCTGGCAAGATTGAGGCTGAAGAACCTTATTCTGCAGTTCTATGTGTGCAGCAGTTTTAGAATTTAGTATGTGACTCAAGGAAAACTGGTAATCATTACAGTAATAGCCTTTCAAATAGTGTAATAGGCACTAGTCTATGTTTAGCGTCCAGTCCTGTCAACATTTAAGTGTATAGTCAGTGGGATTACTCCTGTGTAAAGTTATACATTTAAATGTGGGCAGGAGTGGGGCCTAGTTTTAATGTAATATTTTACAATAAACCCTGGCAGGTAGGGTTTAAGGCAGGATCTTTGGAATCTGGGGGCAGATGTAATAAATGTTAGGGTAGCATGTGTGAGCACACAGCTGATTGTTGCATGCGGGCTGCTTCACTTCAGAGGAAGATCAAGAATGCAGAGGTGGAAGAAAGAAATGAGTCCATCTGAATTGGTTGGGAGAGAGATTCTCTTCTGGAAGCTAGGGAATGAGTATGGGGGAGGGTGGGATATTCTCTGGGAGGCAGCTGAAATTTTGGTTGTTCTAGACCTTCTTTTAATATACCTGTTACACATAGTACTTTTCAGCTCAAAAGGACTCTCTCCATGGAACATTCTTTGGGGTTGGGTGGTTCCCTTACGTGAGACAAGAATAAAATAGATTTAAGAAAAAGTTTCCCAGCCCAAGTATAGCAGTTTCATACGCTATAAATATAATTTGTTTAAAGCCTTCAGAAAATTGGCTTTTCCATATCTTCTCCACTGCCACACACGCTTTTTGTCAGTATATTGGGCAGTGTGACTGGTGTCTTTTTGTTGGGCATAATAAAGCTTAGGAGAACTATTTCCCCAGGATTTACTTCCTAACTATGGAGAAATTTAAATTCTCTGAAGGAGGCTGGTCCTAATGTTGGTATTTATAGGTTGCATATCAGATATACACCTCCTCTACAATGTTGTGAATTTTGTTGGTCGAGGCAGTTTCCTTTGTGTTCTCTCCATTGTCTCTGTCACTAAAATCTATAATTAGTGCACCCCATGAAGGCACAGTCAAATATAAAAGTATCATATTAAAAATCCTTACTTTTTTATTAATGAACACCTTTTGATTATTAAAACAGTCTAATTTAATTGTTTGCATTTCTCTCCCTATGGACTATCATATGAGAGTGGTCTTTTCACTTTTGCTGATGGTCAGTTTCGCATGTAGAAGATGCAGTGATTTATATTTGGGTTTCCCTACACTGGAGAGGAACTATAAATAGTGTGTGCATGCAGGTGAACTTTCATTGGAATTTAGGTTTTGTGATCCTCTTTCCCTGCCTATCTAAGTTATGGGCCTAAAGTCAGTTGATGGCATGTAGTGTAAAGGGAAAACCCTCCCACAACAATGTGGATGAAAGATTGCATTTGGTGAGATGCATTGTCAAGCCTGCCAAATCAGAGATTAACTATACTGGTTAGGAATTTTTAAATTTCCCCAGTTTTCTCATCTGTGTATCATTTCTCCATTCTTAGGTTTCTTGAAAACCAGCATCTGCCAATTGGCTGAAATATACACCACCACTGCTAATTCCCCCCCACCCCCCTTCCACCCCAGAGTGTGACAGGCCTGCCAATGATAGTTATTAGGTCACTGTTTGGGATTCTGGTCACCTACTAGTCACTCATCAGGGATTTTCTGTTCACAGTTAGGAGACTATTTTAAAAATAAAAAATAGAATTCGGGATAATCCTCTTGGTTCATACATTTAAAAAACCCATCCCAACAAAACCCCATTGTAGTCATGACTGTAGTTACTATTCCAATTTTACCTGTGGGAATGGGAGAAGTCAGGCAGAAAGCTTTTCAGAGTAGCTCCCTTGCATAGTGAGTTAGCAGGGTACCTGTCAATTCTAAACACCGAAAAACACTGCCAACGTCCTATCTGGTGATACAGAGTCTGTTCATTAGCTTCCCAAACCAAGATTTCCTTTTTAATTTTTGCTCAGCATTTCCTTTAATAAACGGTCAGAGCTGTAAATTTTAGAAATAATATTGCACTCCTGGATGTAGAATATATGCTTGTGTGGCTTTCCCCCCCTTGTGTATGTTCTATGTGTTTAGGGTGTTAATAGCATCCATCACAATGGTATCTGAGTGCCTGTCTAGTAAAATCACTTTTATGGCATTTACATAGATAAGTGATTTGAGTCAACTTCTGAAGTCCTTTGTGATGTAGCACAATATGTCCTGGTATTTTTTTGCCCAGCTCCTGGGAGCTATGCTGTGCAGGTGGGTTTCTGGGCTTTTGTGGAACCTCATTGACTGAAATGAGACCCCATGAGGCCACAGGGATCTGCCCATGTGGAACTAACTGCTTATGTGACTGGGGCCCTAGTTACTCTCCTTCATAGTCACAGTCGTTCATTGTTGTTGTACTATATACCTTCCTCTGTTTATAAGTTCTGTTCTTGGAAGAGGGAAACCTTTTGAGAATACTGAGAATATCAGAACTGTGAATCTCATATAGTTTCTTATTAATTACTGATGATGTGCTTAGTGCTGTGCATGAAACAAAGGCAGTCCCTCCATTTCTAAATCTAATAACATACTGTAAGTGCAATATAAATTCTATGTTGCACCTTGTGCTGTACAGTGGTTCAGCTCATGTCACTTGTTTAGTGCTCTGCATGTCACCATAATTTAGTTCTATATGTTTAGGACTTAAATATTTTATTGAATGGAATTTCTTTTAATTTCTTTTAAGATATTAACTGTAACTTGCAAAATGCTTTCACTAAACGTTTTGATTGGAATTTGTGCTCCTTGGATTGAGCTTTCTGTACCACTTCCAAGAGAAGTGAGACAATGGGCAAAAAATATTTCAAACCTCCACTTGAAGGAATGTCAGGATTTTCCTCCTTCCTTTTCACCTCTACCCCTGTTTTATAGTACATTGTTTCTGCCCTTCCCCATGCCGTGACTTGAACAGAGAATAAACAGTTGCATCCCATTTAAGGACAATATTTTAGAGATGGGCCTGGCTGTAGTGAATAAAGCTTGGAAAGGCAGATGACTGTAAGCATGGTAATGCCTTGTATGGAGTCACAACCAGTAAATGGAAATGTGACTTTTCCCCCTTCTCTAAGCTGTTTTGCTTGGTTACTAATAGTGATCTTCAATCGTGCAGAGAAGGCATTTGCTATGTGCTTAAAGGTTACAATAAGCACATTTTTATAGCACGAAAATAAATAAATGTGACCATCAAACTAAAGATGAAACACTGGTAATCATCAGAATTAGATTTTCTTTCTCCTTCATCTCTCTTCTCATTGTCTGTAACTTTGTCTCGTGAAATGCTGTACCTAAATATCTTATTGTCAAAATATTACTTCATAAGATTTGAAATACTTCTTCTCTTTTGTTCGTTCTTCATTTATATCACGGGCTGTTGTTAAAATGCTTACGTTCACTGTCAGCATATTAGTTGTAACCTTTTATTGCTATTGATAACTATAAATACGTTAAGTAAATCTTCATTTTGCTGACCTCTTTGAGGAGGCATGGCATCAGCAGATTTCACCAGTGGACAGGTGAGAGATTAGCAAGAGTAGGCTCGTCTCTTTTTTGTAGGATGGTAAGATTCATTGTCTTGAAAGGCAGATGTTTTAAAGGCACAGTTTCTTGGAAGGTTTGAGCAAGGCACTCTGTCTGAATTGTGCATAAGTGGAAGAGTTGTTATTAATATGCATCATCATTAGAATTCTCTGGGAAACTGTTTAAAAGAGTTAACCAGTTCAAAATAAGCCAATGAATTAATGGCCGAATAGTGGCTAAATACAGAAGTTGGCCTGTGGATCACTTGAGCATGCAGTTCTGTCCCGCGGGCCGAGATGCTAGATATTGCTTTGCAAGATTGATTGCCCAGTGCTGGTGAGGGAAAACCTTTCAGAGGCACCTGACTATTGCTTAGAGCCTTAGATGATGCACATTTCTGGAATGATGTGGTATTAGTTGCTGTCTGCTTTAGGGTAGCCAACAGTAGCATCACAGCCAACCAGTGCCACTGACTGTCAGTGTGGCACCAGATTACAAGTCCTAAACACAGAATGGGTATGGATAAACAAGAAAAGCAGAAAAGATAATCATTCATCTGTAACACATTCAGAATCACTTGAAACTCTATTGACCTTTTGCCTCTAATAAAAAGGCTTGTAGAATTAAAAAAGTAAGGTAATTATCATTTGCTCTGCACAGATGTTAAATTTTCTTCTTCATGCTTTTTTTTTATCGCTTTCAGGAAATCAGGTCTAACGAAGAATCTACGGATGATTCTGAGGTAAGGCTGTGTACAGGGGCCTCATGGTTGTAGTGTTTAAACTGCATTTTTGTCAATATGCAGGGGTTTTTTGGGGTCTCGTTTTGTTTTTTGTTTGTTTCTATTTTGGCAGCCGCTTATTTACCAGAGAAGTGTGCTTGTGCTCTAACAGGTGGTTTGAGCTGTGGGCAAATTAATAGCGAATGTGTACCCTTTAAAAAAAATAAAAATACAACTTGACTTTAAAGCCTGGGATCACAAGATTTTAATAAAGTGAATCATGTTAGAAGGTAAAACTTTAAATTCATGCATTTCTACTTTGAACAAATGAAAATGTGATTGACAATGTCATTTCTATATAGTATATTACATTAAAGAAATGCAACTGATATTTAATGATTTCACAGCCTAAATTTAGTCTTTGTTTATTCAGCACATGTTTGCCAGATTGTATTTTGAAACAAGATTGGTCTATCGACTTGAAATGTTTGCACCATCAAAGAAATTTAAGTATTCAGGCGGTGTTATTGGGTGAGCAGAAGAAAGGGAGCTGAAATGAATCCAAGTCTTCCCTCCTTACGCCAGTGCAGTACATCCAAACTTAGTTCTTGGATGCAACTGTGGAAGTCTAATGTATAGTACTTACTCTAATTTTTGCATTGTATGTAAACACAAAGGTCAGATTGCGGACAGGGAAGGGGAGTGGAATAGGTGGCAGTGCATTCCCAAGCTCTCCCAATAGGGTGGTAGACAGATGCTATCATGTTGGGCATTGCCTGAGCATGTAGGTGACTTTCACCCATTATCGATTAGATAGCTTAACGTGGCTCCCAATGCTCAAAACTAGAATGAAATGGTGGTGAGAGAAACATTGCTCTTCACCTAGGGGTGTTAACTACACTGGAGATTGGGATCTAAGGTTCAGGCACTGGCTGTGGTTAGGCTGTCAAGTCCCCTAGCGGATCTTGCTGGTGGTCTTGACTCCCCTGTTGAGTGAGTTTGTAGTCGGGAGGGCTTGAGTCCCCTGTACTGGGTTGAACTCTCCTTCCCTTGGTGACTGTGGTGGCTGTATTTATCCTGGGCTGGATTTTCTTTTTCCTTCCTAGCTGCAGGGGATGCTATGGTATTTTCACTCCTTGGTCTCAGCAACCTCATACCTCCTCCTGCTGTCCCACCCCCTCTGCCTGCAGTTTCAGCTGCTGCAACCCCAGCTTTCAGCTACTGTTGAAGCAGCTACCTGAGCCAGGGCTTTCATGACTCAGTCTTGGGCAGCAACACTTTGGAATTTTGTCACCCCTGGATCTGATTGGCTCGTGATAGTGATGGGAGATAGGGCTCCATGGGATGTAGCTCAGCTATGTGCTGATGCAACCCACTATGTACAACAGTAACCTGCTCTCCATTGCTGTTTTCTCAGTCTCCTATATCTGAACTGATAGCCTGTGTTTTTGTTTTTTGTAGTTTTAAAGCTCTTTGGGAAAGGGATCTCGTCTCTCTACTTTTTTAAAGCACCATGCATGTTTACAGCACTGCATAAATAATTATTAAGGCTAAGTTTTTGTCAGGGATATTTTTAGTGAAAGTTGGGGACAGGTCACAAGCAATAAAAAATTCACAGAAGCCTGTGACCTGTCCCTGACTTTCACTAAAAATATCCCTGACAAAATGAGGAGGCAGGTTCAGCACCCACTGCTCCTGGGATTCTTGGGTCCCCCACTGCTGCAGTCAGTGGGAGCTCTGGGGTCTCCTGCCGCTGTGGGGAGTCAGAGCTGCGGGGTCCTTCTGCCCGCGAGGCTGGGCGGCTGCGGGGTCCCCTCGCACCTGGGCTGGCTAGGCACTCTTGGGGGTCTCCCATTGCCCACCAAGCCTGGGAGCTGCAGGGTCCCCCAGCCGCTTGCCACAGCTGATCAGCTTCGGGGGGGTCCCCAAGCCCCCACCAGTGCGGGGTGCCCCTACCAGTGCAGGGGCTGGGAGCTTTGCGACAGGAAGGGGCTGGCTGGGAACTCCAATCCAGGGGCAGAAAATGTCATGGAGAACAATGGAAGTCAGAGATTCTGTGACTTCTGTAACCTCTGCGACATAATCATAGCCTTAATAATTGTTGAAGGTGGAGCTGGGCAAAAAACAGACTGCGATTTTTGTCTATATTTTCACAGTTTTTCCCCTTAGTTAAATTTGGTCCCAAAAATTGTCAAAATTACTCATGTCAAAATCTTTCGACCAGTTTATGGCAGTGCACCTTTATGTTAGTCCATAAATACGCAGAGTAATATCCACCTAATTTTCAGTCCTATTGGGAAGGTATGACAGGACCTAAAGGATCAAATCCTAATTCTGGTTCTTACTCAGATAGTTAAGAACTACTCAAGATAGTTAATTCCAAAGCAGACTGTGAAGAGTTACAAAAGGATCTCATAAAACTGGGTGACTGGGCAAGAAAATGGCAGATTAAATTCAGTGTTGATAAATGTGAAATAGTGCTTATTGGAAAACATAATCCCAACTATACATATAAAATAATGGGGTCTAAATTAGCTGTTACCACTCAAGAAAGAGATACTTGCTGTCATTGTGGATAGTTCTCTGAAAACATCCACTCAATGTGCAGTGGCAGTCAAAAAAGCGAACAGAATGTTGGGAATCATTAAGAAAGGAGTAGATAGAGGCAATATGATATTTTCTATATAAATCCATGGTACACCCACATCTAGAATACTGCATGCAGATGTAGTTGCCCCATCTCAAAAAGAGATATCGGAATTGGAAGAGGGCAACAAAAATGATTAGGGATATGGGGAGAGATTAATAAGACTGTGACTTTTCAGCTTGGAAAAGAGACGATTAAGGGGGGGATGTGATAAAGGTCTATAAAATCATGACTGGTGTGGAGAAAGTAAATAAGGAAGTGTTATTTACTACTTCTCATAACACAAGAATTATGGGGTCACCAAATGAAATTAATAGGCAGTGGGTTTAAAACAAACAAAAGGAAGTATTTCTTCACACAATGCCTAGTCAACCTGTGGAACTCCTTGCCAGAGGATGTTGTGAAGGCCAAGACTATAACGGGGTTCAAAAAAGAATTGGATAAATTCATGGAGGATAGGTCCATTAATGTCTGATGGGCAGGGATGCTATCCCTAGCCTCTCTTTGACAGAAGCTGGGCCTGGGTGACAGGGGATGGATCACTTGGTGGTTACCTGTTCTGTTCATTCCCTCTGGGGTACCTGGTATTGGTCACTGTCAGAAGACAGGATACTGGGCTAGATGGACCTTTGGTCTGACCCAGTCTGGCCGTTCTTTTGTTCTATAAAGACAAGTGATGATTTGTCTTTAAATATTAGCTGTTACAACAAGCCTGGAAACAACATCTAAAATGTGCTGAAGTGAACTAGTGAAACATGTCCATGATCCCTGGAGGTCCACATCTTTGACTAAACCATTTCCTATGATCATTGAGGCATAATTATCAAATGATATATGCTGACCATTCAAACGCATGAAGACTAAGTGTGGTGAATTGCTGCTTTAATTCTCTTGATGTGAAATGTATATGGTCATGGATTAGTTTGTCCATATCCCTGTGTGTTCGCTCTTTTTTCATACTAAACATAATACATTGTTATGAGATTAGAGTTGGGGTTGACAGGCAGTGTTATCTTGTGGTTATAGCAGAGGACTGGACTCACTGAACCAGTGGCAAGATTTACCTATGTGACTAGGGCAAACCATTTTAATTCTCTGCACTTTGGTTTATACATAAGTAAAATACGTATAACATTTATTACATTGATTCATTATAGGCAGTTACCACTATATTCATTACAAAATTAATGGCAGACAATTGATGTTAGCTTTAATCCCTTTGAGATTCTTGGTCGTATGGGGCAATTGCAAATGATGAGCATTGTTATCAGAGGAATTAAGGTGTAATTGCCCATGTTAAGCTTTAACTTCTTGCAAAAAATCTTCTTCTGTGGTGTGGAAAGGGTGAAAATAATCATAGGATTAGAAGGGACCGCATATCCCTCTTTGAACCATTCCTTCCCCCCCCCCCTCTGAATTGTGTGCACACAAGGAAAAAAACTCTCTTCTGTTAGTCCTTACTGTGACTTCACTGCACCATCTTGCTGTCTTTTTTCTATTAGATTGTAAGCTTGTTGAGACAGGGACTCTCTCCATTTTGTGTCTCTGTCAGAACCGAACACATTGTCCACTCTTAACAAATTAAAATATACTGCTAATAATTTACCCACCTGCATGGTCTGCTTTGAGTTAACTGTTCCTTAATGAATGTCAAGATGCTGTTTGTACAGAATCAATGGCAGAGCGTCACAATGGATCTCAGACATGTGATGTTTTGCAAAAAAGACTGTTTTGCCTATGTGATGTCACACAGCTCTTCATTGCAAATCTGGTTTCCACTGGTCCCGTAAGTTGAATTCCTGAGGCCATTTAAATCTGTTTAATGTTTTCCAGTTGTTTAATTTAGAATGTCTAAAGCACATAGGTATAAATTAGTAGAGGTAGTACATATCCTCGTATGTTCAGCAAACCTTTCAGTGATGATGGTGGTAGTTATTTGTGTCAACACTATGCAATTGTAGCAGATCTTTCATTGTAACTACACTACAATTTACTCTCTTATTTCATATCCTTACATATGATATGGGGTATTATGAGCTTTTACTTATCATGTAGACAGGCTACTATTTAATCTACCATGATATGGTGAGCAAACAATATATCTAAAATGGTATTTTAATTCTCGGGAGAAAAAAGTACTTTAGCTGCAAAGTATTTTCACTGCAATCTTGAAGCACTAACTTTTTTTTTTTAGACTTCTGTCATTTTTTAAAATGGCACATGTGATGTACATATACTTCATTTTTCCCAACCCATAAAACAATCAAGTGTGCTACATTTTAGATCGAACAGGTTTATTTCACAGAAAAGTTCTAGATATGATGCTACTTCACTGTTGTATTTAACGTTATTTTACAGCACCTGGAGTTGCATA